TTTAAATAGGGATGTAACGGTATGAAAATTTCTTATCACGGTTATAGTGACCAAAATTATCACGGTTATCAGTATTATCACGGTATTGTTAAAATGTGCTGGAGATGTTCAAAAAGTACCGACACATAAATCACTTCACCAAGTTTTATATTTAAAAATCAACAAACAACAAATAAAATGACTTTTTGTTTGCATAATCACTAAAGCAATAACATTTTCAATCCAACCAGATTTTAAATGACAACTTGACTGACAACAGTTTAATAGCATGTTGAAATATCTAATGTAAATGTTCAAATAAAGCTTTGAAAAAGTTTAATAAAAAGGTAAACCTCACATTTCAGCCTTTAAATAAAGAAAAGGGTTAAGTCTAAATTATAATAGATGAATAAATTATGATATGTATTTTATCTGCTCCATAAATTATTCTTGATAACTTATCTAAATTGTATAAATGTGTAGAATCCACATAAGCTTGTTTTTCATCAACACGTCAAAATTTACAGCAGGGCATGCAAATTTGGTCCGTTTTTGGCCAGACAGAAACTGCACACAGGCTGAATGTAAATATAAGTCTCTGTAAATCCACTCGCTGACACTAGGTGGCGCTTATGGAAAAGCTGAATTAGAGCTGTTTCCCGTAAACTCCGTGGACAAAGCACAAGATGAAAACAAAATGCCTTCAAATCGTTTCTGAAGACAGTCAGAACCTTCAGCGGTACATTCATATAAATAATTCATTCATATATTCATTTGTATAATTCCCTTAGCACTCTTTTAAAACCTCCCAGCTTTTCCGCCCTGTTTTCACTCAAAACGAAACTAGTCTGCGTGCTGTGCGCACTTGAGACTGTTACTGAAAACTGCTTTATGCTGAACAGTATTTACTTTTCGTGAGTTGTTCAAATCGCGGTAATCTAATACGGTTTTAATGATTATTAAAATATGAAACGGTAATACTAACCGCGGGGAATTTTATCATGATTTATCGTCAAATCGGTAATCGTTACATCCCTAGGTTTAAACATAACATTTTTTTTTTTCAATGTTTATGGACATTTTCTGTCAAATCTCACCGAACACCTCTGAATATAAAACACAGGGTATATGAATAACTAAATTTATCATGCCAAAAAGAAATTATATTAAAAAACAATATAAGTACAGTAGTAACATCTGACTACCAAAAAGGGTTTAAATACTATTGCCTTAATTTTGAGCAGTATATCTGTCCCTTTAAAATCTAATAAACTTCTTTTAATATTTTGCTTAAAAAGTGTGTCTGTGATGCATTTATTTACCTAAATGCCACATGGTTTAATATTTTGTAAAAATAATAAAATATTTTTTTAATCACTGTATAATAATTAAGCATCGATTAGGTTGAAATTAAAGAGCAGTTATGGATCAGTACGGTTCTGTAATGTATATGGAGGTGAGTTGGATAAGAGAGGGAGCTGTGGGAGTTCACAGCATGTTCTATGATACTAGGGCTCTACATACAGTTTTTATAGCAAAAAGTAACAAAAGTAACAACAATAAGTGTTTGAGGCCAGTGCATTTGATTTAAGGCTTGAATTTCCCATTAGCATTGGAAAATTCTCTATTTTAGGACTGTAACTTTGAGTATGCACTAGAATACTGAGTGTGTACTAGAGCTGCATGACCAGCAGTGAAAATTACATACTCGAAACCTAAAACTCTGCACTGCCTTCCAACTTCCAAATGAAAACCCTTGAGATGGGACTATGATCATTTTTAGTGCATAATTAATTATTGAAATGTATACTATTGCATAATCTTCATAGTTTGGGAATGCTAATTAGAAAGGAGGAACAACAGGATAATCATTCTCCTCAGCTGTGTGGGCCAGAACTATTGTTCAGTACTGACAGTTGCCCATGCATCCTTGTCACATGCAAAAAAGCTTTTACTGTCATTTGAGGTTATACACCATGACCATTTTTAGTTTGCATTCATATGGAGCTGCGTGGATGGCAAACTGTCCTGTTTCCCAGCAGACACGGGGAAGAACGCTATGCCTGTCTCTAAGGGCTGTTCACTCTATCACTTTCACTAACAGCAGCACAGCCATAAAAGAGACTCTGTGGAGCACTAACTACTGGTGTCACACTTTTTTCCACCCATAAATCACTCTCACTCTTCATGCTTCACTCACAACACTTTTTGGCAAAAGCACTCCAATCATAACTTACACAGAGTCAAGTATTAGGTTGATTTGCCTAAAAAGTACTATTGTTCCAAATTACTCATCACAGCAACAATGGTTCAACCAATGGCATGCATTTGAGGCAGGCTCTGTTTGATCAAACAATAATAGACAGGAGGAAACCTTTTCGGAAACAGTCATGATTTTTGCTATCACATTTGATGACCCCTGAAGAACAGAAATTACACGCTTCAGCTTTAAGTACCTCACTGGCCTGTTTTCATGAAACAGCCAGCATAGCGCCTCTGGCTTTGGCATGTTTGAGATTTCACCGATTTAACTGGTCTGTAGGTGATAAAACCGTTAACACCTGGTAAATGGGCTTCTATTGGGCCTATAATATGAGCGGTGGAATTTGGAAGCGGATCAGAATATGCCATATGAGGTCCGTATTCCATCAAGAGTGGAGCTGCTCGCAGCAATCTACATCAGTCAGCCTGAATACAGGGCTGTTTTCAGCAGCTGCTGCTCAATGTGACAGAGAACATCTGTGTGTCTTTTTCTGCTGCTTTAACTCTTTCACCACTCAGGCCTGGCCTGACGTTTCCAAACAGAGCACGGTGAGGACTGATATTAAATAAAACACAAGGATGGAGTAAGTCCCTAGTAAATGGCTGCCTAGGTTTATGGGGAAACAAGTGGGTGCTTCTATTTCAAGACACAAAGGTTATGGAGGAGAATTTCTATCTATAGTGAGCTGCTGCCTTTGTGCTCTTGCTCTCTGATGGTTTGTTTATCAACCTTTTTGCCTCTTAAATCAGACCTTCAGATGAAAGGTACTATATGTTAGAACTGACTCCAATAATGGCAATGTGAAAAGTGCAGAGCTATGGATTCTACTTAGAATAGAGACACTATTTTCACATCCTTCATCAATTATTCAGTTGTTTACATCAATAGAATGGCCTATTATTTCGTTTTTAAATTGTGGGAAATAGTGATTTAATTTGCTTTTGAGTGAACCTTCAGAAATCATTCTAATATGCTGACTGGATGCTCAAGAAACATTTATGATTATTATCAAGGTTGAATAAGCAGTTGTTTTGTGGATATTTGCAATTATTTGAAATAAAAATGTTCTGTTACACATGTCTTTACTGTCACTTTTGATGAATTGATGTATTCTTGCTGAATATAAGTATTTAAAAATCTTACTGACCCAAACTTTTAAACAGTAATGTATCTAGAAAAAAAATCTAGATAAGTCAACCTCACTAAATGACTAGTTGGTTGTCTGATGAGTTGGCCCATCATTAAGCAGCATATTTTGTGACTTTATGACGCATCAAGGGGCTAGGACAATATTTTTGAGAGTAGGACCCCCATTCACAAGCTATGGTACCCATCACAAGTACAGCATCCCATGATGGCAGTCCTGTCACGTATATTTACTGATACATGATAAGCAAGATTGAGACTGATGTGTCTTTGTCTTTGACTTTGACTCTAGCTTCGATGCACATACTAAATGTGTAAACTAAACTCTGCCAAACTTCTCTCAGAAATGTTTTGTAGAAGCGTCTTTCAGATCTTTTTATAGTGCCCACAGTTAACCCGCTGGATAGTGAGGAAAAATATGGGTCAGTAAAATCTGCTCTTCAAAACTGAAAACAAATATTACATCACACTGAGCACAGACAGAACTGGGTTGCTTTGTTGTATGAAAATATTTAGAGGTACAAATATGAGCCTGGAGATGTTCGCTCTGGGGACAAGAGGAGGTGTTATGCCTCTTTGTAAAAATGATTGAGTCTGCAACAAATAGGGCTCATATTAAAAAAAATCAGCATGTACTATTATAGTCTAATGGAGGTAAACAACAGCTGTCAAACCTGCATACATTTCCAAATGACAACAGCGCTCTCACACCTGAAATGACTTGAACTGAATGATGTTTCCAACACAAGCACACAGAAGACAGATTGACTCCCTTTTGACTGAGGAGAAATCTAACATCGCTGAGACATCTCCTCTTAGAAGACTACGACATGCTTTCCATTGTTGATTTTTAGTAAAAAATTGGGGTGGACAAAAGAGACTGATGCTCTAATGGAAAAATCAAAGAGCTGACTGCAGGACTAGAGACAGCAGCGAGGGGAGAAACAGCGAATGCTGCCCAGCCATGATTGTTTCTGTATATTCGCTGTTCCCAGACAGAAGAATGTTATGAGATGTAGTGGAAAAGCTTCTCTGTGACTCATCTCTCTCTCTGTCTGCAGGCCGCCCGAAGTGGGACAAGAGTACTTGGTGATACACACAAAAAAAAAAAAGGGTGAGGGGCCAGAGAGGCTCAGGCCATCTTCTGTTGTTCACAGGCTTTGTCGAGACATGCAGTTGGAAAAGTTGGAGTGGCGATGGGTCACAAGCATTGAGAGGTCTGGATGCCAGATGAAGCACAGCAAGGAAATGTTACAACAAGAATGCATCTTATAGATCTGCAGCTGTGCTTTCTTGAATCTGCAACGGACAGTGAAAACGTCTGAAAAACATCTTTAAATGGCTTCAAGCTTCAAAGAAGTATTGTGCTTATGTTGCCAAAATTCTACTTGGCCATCTCCATAGTACTGTATCATAGGAATTTATAGATTTTTTTCCAGTTGTATTTGCCCTATACAAAAAGGTGCTATTTTGAGTGATGGTATGACATAAATACCATAGTACTTATGAGCTCTGGCAGATCCCGAGGATATTTGGCAGTCAGGCAGAAACGATCATGTTTACAAGAGACTGCCACATGGAGCCATATAAAGCCCTTATATGTCCCACTCACCCATCAGTGTCCTGGAAGTTGACGTTCACCTTCTTGGCAGAACCCAGCAACTCTAAAGAAAGAAGAGAGGGAAAGAAGGATGAGTATGATTAAAAAGCAACAATAGTACACTGTGGGAGTAAGGACATTTCACAGCATGTTCTATGATACTAGGGCTCTACATACAGTTTTTATAGCAAAAAGTAACAACATTTCCACAAATAAGTGTTTGAGGCCAGTGCATTTGATTTAAGGCTTGAATTTCCCATTAGCATTGGAAAATTCTCTATTTTAGGACTGTAACTTTGAGTATGCACTAGAATACTGAGTGTGTACTAGAGCTGCATGACCAGCAGTGAAAATTACATACTCGAAACCTAAAACTCTGCACTGCCTTCCAACTTCCAAATGAAAACCCTTGAGATGGGACTATGATCATTTTTAGTGCATAATTAATTATTGAAATGTATACTATTGCATAATCTTCATAGTTTGGGAATGCTAATTAGAAAGGAGGAACAACAGGATAATCATTCTCCTCAGCTGTGTGGGCCAGAACTATTGTTCAGTACTGACAGTTGCCCATGCATCCTTGTCACATGCAAAAAAGCTTTTACTGTCATTTGAGGTTATACACCATGACCATTTTTAGTTTGCATTCATATGGAGCTGCGTGGATGGCAAACTGTCCTGTTTCCCAGCAGACACGGGGAAGAACGCTATGCCTGTCTCTAAGGGCTGTTCACTCTATCACTTTCACTAACAGCAGCACAGCCATAAAAGAGACTCTGTGGAGCACTAACTACTGGTGTCACACTTTTTTCCACCCATAAATCACTCTCACTCTTCATGCTTCACTCACAACACTTTTTGGCAAAAGCACTCCAATCATAACTTACACAGAGTCAAGTATTAGGTTGATTTGCCTAAAAAGTACTATTGTTCCAAATTACTCATCACAGCAACAATGGTTCAACCAATGGCATGCATTTGAGGCAGGCTCTGTTTGATCAAACAATAATAGACAGGAGGAAACCTTTTCGGAAACAGTCATGATTTTTGCTATCACATTTGATGACCCCTGAAGAACAGAAATTACACGCTTCAGCTTTAAGTACCTCACTGGCCTGTTTTCATGAAACAGCCAGCATAGCGCCTCTGGCTTTGGCATGTTTGAGATTTCACCGATTTAACTGGTCTGTAGGTGATAAAACCGTTAACACCTGGTAAATGGGCTTCTATTGGGCCTATAATATGAGCGGTGGAATTTGGAAGCGGATCAGAATATGCCATATGAGGTCCGTATTCCATCAAGAGTGGAGCTGCTCGCAGCAATCTACATCAGTCAGCCTGAATACAGGGCTGTTTTCAGCAGCTGCTGCTCAATGTGACAGAGAACATCTGTGTGTCTTTTTCTGCTGCTTTAACTCTTTCACCACTCAGGCCTGGCCTGACGTTTCCAAACAGAGCACGGTGAGGACTGATATTAAATAAAACACAAGGATGGAGTAAGTCCCTAGTAAATGGCTGCCTAGGTTTATGGGGAAACAAGTGGGTGCTTCTATTTCAAGACACAAAGGTTATGGAGGAGAATTTCTATCTATAGTGAGCTGCTGCCTTTGTGCTCTTGCTCTCTGATGGTTTGTTTATCAACCTTTTTGCCTCTTAAATCAGACCTTCAGATGAAAGGTACTATATGTTAGAACTGACTCCAATAATGGCAATGTGAAAAGTGCAGAGCTATGGATTCTACTTAGAATAGAGACACTATTTTCACATCCTTCATCAATTATTCAGTTGTTTACATCAATAGAATGGCCTATTATTTCGTTTTTAAATTGTGGGAAATAGTGATTTAATTTGCTTTTGAGTGAACCTTCAGAAATCATTCTAATATGCTGACTGGATGCTCAAGAAACATTTATGATTATTATCAAGGTTGAATAAGCAGTTGTTTTGTGGATATTTGCAATTATTTGAAATAAAAATGTTCTGTTACACATGTCTTTACTGTCACTTTTGATGAATTGATGTATTCTTGCTGAATATAAGTATTTAAAAATCTTACTGACCCAAACTTTTAAACAGTAATGTATCTAGAAAAAAAATCTAGATAAGTCAACCTCACTAAATGACTAGTTGGTTGTCTGATGAGTTGGCCCATCATTAAGCAGCATATTTTGTGACTTTATGACGCATCAAGGGGCTAGGACAATATTTTTGAGAGTAGGACCCCCATTCACAAGCTATGGTACCCATCACAAGTACAGCATCCCATGATGGCAGTCCTGTCACGTATATTTACTGATACATGATAAGCAAGATTGAGACTGATGTGTCTTTGTCTTTGACTTTGACTCTAGCTTCGATGCACATACTAAATGTGTAAACTAAACTCTGCCAAACTTCTCTCAGAAATGTTTTGTAGAAGCGTCTTTCAGATCTTTTTATAGTGCCCACAGTTAACCCGCTGGATAGTGAGGAAAAATATGGGTCAGTAAAATCTGCTCTTCAAAACTGAAAACAAATATTACATCACACTGAGCACAGACAGAACTGGGTTGCTTTGTTGTATGAAAATATTTAGAGGTACAAATATGAGCCTGGAGATGTTCGCTCTGGGGACAAGAGGAGGTGTTATGCCTCTTTGTAAAAATGATTGAGTCTGCAACAAATAGGGCTCATATTAAAAAAAATCAGCATGTACTATTATAGTCTAATGGAGGTAAACAACAGCTGTCAAACCTGCATACATTTCCAAATGACAACAGCGCTCTCACACCTGAAATGACTTGAACTGAATGATGTTTCCAACACAAGCACACAGAAGACAGATTGACTCCCTTTTGACTGAGGAGAAATCTAACATCGCTGAGACATCTCCTCTTAGAAGACTACGACATGCTTTCCATTGTTGATTTTTAGTAAAAAATTGGGGTGGACAAAAGAGACTGATGCTCTAATGGAAAAATCAAAGAGCTGACTGCAGGACTAGAGACAGCAGCGAGGGGAGAAACAGCGAATGCTGCCCAGCCATGATTGTTTCTGTATATTCGCTGTTCCCAGACAGAAGAATGTTATGAGATGTAGTGGAAAAGCTTCTCTGTGACTCATCTCTCTCTCTGTCTGCAGGCCGCCCGAAGTGGGACAAGAGTACTTGGTGATACACACAAAAAAAAAAAAGGGTGAGGGGCCAGAGAGGCTCAGGCCATCTTCTGTTGTTCACAGGCTTTGTCGAGACATGCAGTTGGAAAAGTTGGAGTGGCGATGGGTCACAAGCATTGAGAGGTCTGGATGCCAGATGAAGCACAGCAAGGAAATGTTACAACAAGAATGCATCTTATAGATCTGCAGCTGTGCTTTCTTGAATCTGCAACGGACAGTGAAAACGTCTGAAAAACATCTTTAAATGGCTTCAAGCTTCAAAGAAGTATTGTGCTTATGTTGCCAAAATTCTACTTGGCCATCTCCATAGTACTGTATCATAGGAATTTATAGATTTTTTTCCAGTTGTATTTGCCCTATACAAAAAGGTGCTATTTTGAGTGATGGTATGACATAAATACCATAGTACTTTAATATATGGGTTTTCAAACTGGTGTCCACCAGAAGGTCAATAGAAAATCTGAAAGATAGTGGGTGTTTTCAGACTCACCATGTTAACTTCAGATATTATGTAAATGTTTAACATGATATTTTTTTTACACATGCTGAATTATCTTCTGACAGCCCTAGATTTTAACAATTACAAATATTTTAATTTATACATACAACTTTCTAAAAGAAAAAAATATAATGCCAACTTAATTCAAAATAAATATTCTCCATATAATATTTTATCATTTGCTTTGAGTTTTGTATAAAAGAAAATATATATTACCATTCAAAAGTTTGAGGTCTGTAATATTATCTAATGTTTTGAAAGTCACTAATGATTGTCAGGGTTCTGGACTAACTGTGTGTGTTTTGCTCCCCGTGACCCAGTTTCGCCTCGTGTTAATTGTGTTAATTTGATTTGATTCCATGCACCTGTGTTCCCCTGATTTGCCCTGTGTTTATTAGCCCCAGTCTGTGTAGTCTTCCTTTGTCGGTTCTACTTGTTGGATGTTGTGAAATTCCAGTCATTCCCAGGATTAAAGACTGTTTATGTACTCCACGTCTCCTTGTTCCTTGTTCCGCACTCCTCCTAGCACAGATCGTGACAGAAGAACCGACCCAAAAAAACAGTAACCTCTGTGTGTTTACCCTCAGTTTTTGTTTCCGTGTTTTTTCCCTCAGTGTTTTGTTTCCGTTGTGTTCTATGGATCCCCTCCTTCGCCCCGAATTCCTCCTCCTCCTGCTGGAGCAGGGGGAGCGCTTGCTCAAGGACCATACCAGACTGCTTCTGGCCCTCGCCGAACTTACCAGCTACCCGGACGACGCACTCTGCGCGTTCTATGACGCTAGCCTGAACACCTCGTGCAGAGCGCCGTTGTCCGAAGATGGTCCTCGAGCGGAATTCGCCGGTGCCATCTGCTCTGCCTAGGACCTCCGGATCCTCCATGTCGCCCTGGCTCATCGGCTTTCCGTCTCTGGCTCCTCCACCACCTGCTCCGCCGCCATTGGTCGGCCCCCTGGAGTAGGCGGCCATTCCTCCTTCATGGCTCATCCCTCCATCGGCTCCACCATGGGCCGACATTATGGCTGTGGCCTGGGTCCAGCTGGGCTCCTCCTGCTCCAAGCCCATCCTGTCTCCTCCCTGGACTCTGTCTGCCGGCCCCCTCCCGGGTGTCCGTCCGTCCTCTGGAACCTCCTCCTTAGTCCCCCCGTTGTTCTACGGTGCGAGGACACACCTTCCGGGAGGGGGGTGAATTGTCAGGGTTCTGGACTGACTGTGTGTGTTCTGCTCCCCGTGACCCAGTTTCTCCTCGTGGTAATTGTGTTAATTTGATTGATTCCATGCACCTGTGTTCCCCTGATTTGCCCTGTTTATTAGCCCCAGTCTGTGTAGTCTTCCTTTGTCGGTTCTACTTGTTGGATGTTGTGAAATTCCCCTGTCATTCCCAGGATTAAAGACTGTTTATGTACTCCACA